GAGGGAGGGAGGGAGGGAGGGAGGGAGGGAGGGCGTGATGTTTCAGATAGTTGTTTTTGTCTTCATCACGCCGAAAAACCGTAGCTCAGAGGAGAGAGCAAGTGTCATCCTCGTCCTACCGCATGCGGGCGTTCTAGTAAGTAGTCCGGTCATCAGCATGGCGCAGAGGGAGGAGGTAGCACGATAGGGGGCTACAATCCAAGTGCTTTATCTGACGGCGGGCACCGAATCAAGGTGTGAGTTAAACGAAACAGTAAGGTTTGATGACTGCCCAGCGACTCAAACGACAAGAGCAGAATGAGGTTGTAACGCAACAACATGGAAACACTTCGGGGGGTGATAGGGGGGGTGTCCTCACCTGCTTGTCTTGCAGCTCGATGGTGTCGCGATAAGCTGCTTGGAGGTTACTGAAACACATTCAGAGGAGACGCAGCAGCAGCAGCAGCAGCAGCAGCAGCAAAATATTGCGAATTTAGTCATTTGAAGCAGGTTGGGAAAAGAGTTGGTGGCTGATTCTACTAATCACGGCAATGTTGAGCTCAACTCTGTTCGAATGATGTTTCTACAGCAGAGTTCGGTCAAATTTCAACACGCCGGTGTGGACGGAAGTGTAACCGATCCTGACACACGGGTACACACCACCTTCTGCAGAAACGTCGATTGTGAAGGAACGCCCCTAGTGTAACGTCGACGGAAGAGACTTGTGCCTATAAAGCAAGTACACACAAATCTTGCCATACAAAACATTGTCCCCCAAGACTTCATTCAGCCTGCTGTCAATTTACCCTTGACAGATAGCACCCGACCCGACAAGACGCGCGTCCTGGAGGGGTATAACCGAATCGCATCAGACCGGCAACCCAAAGTAGATCATTTAGTCATGGCTGTGCATCGATGTTCGTCCATGTTTGCTTACCGTAAGGTTGCGGGTTAGCGCACGGTCCGGGGTTTCCGCACGGTCCGGAGTCGTCGCACAGGGGTGCGATGAAAATTAAATGGCATAATTATTCAATTCGATTTCCGCACAGGGTCCAACATTACCGCACAGGGGTGCGATGACTCGCAACCTACAGAAGGGTAGTAGTGGAGACCGGTCTTGTTCGACCTCGGCTGTCGTAGGTGCCATACCAGCGTGAATCGATTTTGCCTTTGATAGTTTAGGCTTCTCCTTCACCAGCTTCTTCATTATTGCCTCCTCACCGACCCAGGTGATGATGCGCCTGCGATCCACCCCGAGAACTTTCGCCGCTCCGGAATTCCCCACTGGTTGACCATCCTCGCAAAGGACTCGCGTGAATGCGGCTGCTTTCAGTTTGAATCTCATGGGGTAGCTCCCTTTCTTTCCTCCAGTCCTCTCCTTGACGAAGTCAGGCTCGGGGTATTTGCGCTTTTTGTGGTGTGATGGTGTGGGGTCGTTTGCCGCAAGCATCTCGTCGATGGCCTCTCCTGCTGCCAACGGGTCCGCAGAGGCGGCTACCGCGTCCGCAGAGGAAGGACCGCCACCACTAGCCCCTGATATCGCGGCACCGCCCGTCCTTGATACCTCCGACATGATAATATCGCCTCCAGGGTCTACTCAGGACCGCACATACTGGAGTCATTGCACAGGGGTGTGCGTTATGTATCAAACCCAATGACTAAATTCAATTTTCGCACAGGGTGTGGAGTCATCGCACGGTCCGGAGTCATCGCACCCCTGTTCGATGAAAAATAAATAGCGAAAATGTATAAAAAACGATCGCACGGGGGTGCGCTAACCCGCAACCTTACGCTACCTGGACTGAACGTCCAAAATGGCCGTCACTCGCGCCAGGCGGGACTTGACGAGAAGCTTTTTCGTAAGGCCCCTGGCCCACGCCTTGTGGCGGATGGCCTTGGCGTTGTCCGCGTATCTCCTGGTCTTGGCGAAGGCTACGGCGGTAGAAAGGCAACGCTCGGCCAATCCGTAGAAGCGGGCCTACGATACAAGCGAATTGTGAACGCAAGGAGTATATCATGCAAAATCAGCAGAGAGAGGGACGGCGGTGTTAGCGATTTCGCTCGTTCTTCTTCATGCAAGGCGTGAGAAATCAGGCGATGAGTGCTGCGCCTCTTGCATGGAGCCTTGCGAAAGAAAACGTCTGCTAGGCGTAGCTGGGCTGACGCTGATGGGACTCAGTCGTATTTGCAGCTAAGCTTTCAGCGAAGGCCAGAAACTTAGTGCAAGTAATCACGAAGAATTTTCCTCCGGCACACGATGACTACACACCACCGGGAATAGTGTTGTTTTACTGGAGACATGTGCAAATGTTCTTTTTTTTCTATAGCATACCGTACGTGTCAAATCAACACCATCTCACGTTCATCAGGACCAAGAGCACGAAGCCGAGCGTCTCAACGAATGCCTTGGAGGGTACGGTGACGAACATTAAGCCCTGTGGTTGACATGCTGTGTGGCCGCGGTGCGGTGCGGTGCGATGGACACAGAAGGGAAAGGTTAGCTTCGGTCGAGAACCCTAGATCGTGCGCGATTACCAAACCAGAATCAATTCAATCCTAGGATAGGTTCGCCAAACATTACTTGCAATACATTAACAAAAACATCCTCTTTCGTTTTAGAAAGATACCGCTTTAACACCCATGTATTGGAGAATCGACACCAGCCCAGCGTTTCGGCCGCTTTGTTGTTGTCTCAGGAAGACAAATTAATTGCGGCGCTTGGTTAGGGTAAACTGCACCACTTGCTTCTACACGACTCGTTGGTCAACAAGGATGGGAAGAAAACGAAACGAGACAGGAAAAATCGTTTAATTTCCAGCGTCCCCAAGCCTGGCCTCACCATAATGTCCACGACGGTATCTCTTCCCGTCCACGCCGATATCTCTTCCCGTCCACGCCGATAGTACCAACGCTGTCAGCGTCAACATGATTGCCGACTGCGGGAACTCGCTGTTAATCCAAGCGGTAAAATAGCAGACGCGGTGCGAGCGAGATACAGACAGGTTAATCATCGACGGTTGCGTACGATACGAGATGCTAGAGATCACGTCAAGCAATGCACGCTGCTCTGATCGAAGGCGGACGGCATACGACGGGGTACTCCTGTGCAAGGAATATTGAAAAGGTGATGTCATCACCACCACAGAGCACAAGCAGTATGTTTCATGCTCTCGGTCTATCCTATGTGCTGGCCAGCTATCGCATCGGTCGCTCAAGAGTAGCCGAGAGCGAGCCGAAAATGCAAATAGCAAATAGCCGGCGACGGTGCACACCGTCCGAGCCATGAACGAACGCCATAGCACTCTCAATGTGCGGCAGCCAACTTGCTGTATGTAGTCTGTTGTGTCTACATCGTCACTGATCAATGAACGTTAAACTATTACTAATACTGTTACAGTGTAGTCTATTTTATGTTCGTTGTGTCCTCATGCCAAATATAGCACAAATGGTGATAAACCATTGGCGCTGAAGCAAGTGAAGGGGGCTTACGATTTGGATCCGCCGACTTTGACGCGCCACCACGGCTGCGATAACCTTCGCGCGTGGTGTGCGCGTGCCTAGTCTAGCTATAGCGGAACGTTCCACTGACCTGGTGGTGATGCCGGACAAGTCTTCGTCAGCCGCCGAAATCCCATCAATGGAATAGGTCAGCACACCCCACGCGATTATGGCCTGAAGCATGAAGACCAATGTCGTCATGCGCCTCAACGCGGTAGGTGTGGGGGCGGTCCTTTCGAAGAGGGTCGTGAAGAAGTCCATGATATTGTTGTTGTTGTTGTTGTTGTTGTTGTCTTGTCTTTTCTGTTGCTGTTGCTGTTACAATATTCAAGAGAGAAGAGGAGGTTCGAGTTGTGGCAGTGTGTGCGGGTATTGGGGGTGGAGATGGACAGGAGGCGCGTCGGTTGCGGTTCGGGCTGACTCTTTCTTGCGAGTATCGCAGAGACGGTGCTAACTTTGTCCTCGGCTTTGGCTCTTTCAACCAGCAGACAAGGTACCGATTGCTGGAGTCGTCTGTTAACCCTTCTGGGACTCCAACGGGAATTTTGTGATCACTGGAAATGATCATTTCTCATATTTGTGCTCGGTCAGCCCGGTCTCTTCGACCCGGGGATGATAGAAACAAAACCCCGAACCTGCACGCATGGAGTTGTACAGCAGCACAGGCAGGCACGCGCAAGCCACACTGCATCACCCCCGCGCTCGCACTACAGGGGTACGCCGGTAGGCGCATGAAGCCTGGACGCCGTCTGGGGCCCTCAGCTGTGAGATTTTCCGTTGGTTTGGTAATCATCGCTGCTATAGCGTGCCTGTCAGCAGCACTTACGACACCTAGTTTGCGTTGCTCGATGGAGGGTCAGCAGCAACGCAACCACACCACCAGCATCGCCCCAGGGAGCCTTGACAGCGATCCAGAAGGAGATTCAGACTTCGAGAGGGACAGCGACGACGATGGGTTGCCGTACCAGGCCGCTGCGTATCAGGCCAGCACGCACAACACCAACATCCGCACGAGAGGAGCTGCCAGAGCTCTCACAGCCCTTAGCCAGCCGTCTCCCTCCCCTGCTGTGCAACCGCCGCCACCTACGCCACCACCTCCACCACCGCCACAGCAGCAGCAACAGCAGCAGCAGCAACAGCAGCAACAGCAGCTGCCATCACCGTTGCCGGCGTCTTCGCCAAAGTGCATTGCCATAAAGCAAGGTGGCAAGAACGCCGGCACGGTTT